AGTAGTAAAAAATAATCCACACTGCAAAGCATCATCAGTATTCTATAGAACTTGCTAACTCAAAAGTAAGCAGCATGATCAATTAAATTTGTTTTTTCTTTTTTAAGAGACTGAATAAAGAATTTCAAACTGTCGTCGACTGTGCCTTAGTAATTCCTCTTGAAAATGTAATCATCAAACGAGGTTCACACGTCCCAATTTAATGAGTAAAATTTTCACTACTTTTAGAAATATAACTCTTCTATCTGTTAAGCTTGGAGGCTGTTAGCGAATGATTGAATATAAGAAATCCCCTAGAATTTCAACACACAATTGGTTCTAGGAAACTGTACTACTTCTCGAGTCTCATTTCATTTCCATCAACTATTTACTCGCAACAAAATCATTCTTCGAAGGCTTTCAATCTAGTCTCCAGCATTCCTCCATGCTCATTGCACCTTTGCAATATTGAATCTAAACTTATGCACGAGTAACACTAACCTTACTAACAAGAATGGTTAAGCAAAAGATCTACAGAGAAATAGCATTTAGAGAGGAAAATTCTAAAACTTCACCGAAGAGGAAAAAGTACAATGCTTGAACAAAACAGATTTTAGGTCCTAAACTCAACCTTCAACCCCCTATTAATGGGCTCAAGTGAAGGCACATTATTACAACAAAGGTTTTTCTTGAGCTATATAAATAAATCTTTAACCAGTGATTTGCTCTATGATAAATGAGATGTAACAAAAATTGAAGAAGAGCATACATACTGATTGTCTAGTAGAAACTGTATCCAGAAGTAATCCTTCTTTTTTATTTTAATCCATGGGAAGCCTTTTGTCGACTTCAGTTAAATCTATTGAGTACGAATGTGTAGCTCAAGTGCTTAGGCAAATTATTGTGGCAATTTGAGGCTAATTGTTTTGAAGAAATACTTTAATTTTTTGCATCTAAGACTAATTGTCCGAGGCGAGTTGTGGCATATCTAGAGGTCACCATAATTGAAGATCAAGAGTAATGGAAGACGTTATCTAACCTTACTGATATTGATCAATGAAGATAAAAACCAAGGGTGTTAGAAACAACAGTAAAATGATAGTCACGGATCATAATCCTAATTGGATGCAGTTAATGAATAGCATGTCATCTCAAATATTTCAGCATTTCATGAAATGATATAAGAAAATGTTAGCTAATAGAAATACAACTTACTCAATCCTGACATTCATATTCATATCCAAACAGCTATCTTAATATTGGGACGTTATATCTTTCAGGTATTCTGCCTAACAACGGGGCTTGTGCTATAGCTTTATTGAATTATATAATTTTTCTGAAGCTCATTGACACTAAAGATTCATCTGGAACACCTTCATCAGAATTAACTGCAACACAATCGACAAAGGCCTCTAAACACTGTTCCAACATCCCATACTTAGATTAACAACACCAAGTTTGCAGCCTACGAAGCAGAAGTTCCAAAAAAGCAATGAGAAAAATTCCTATCAAGGAATTCCTCTTAAAGATTCCTACAAAAAATTGCTTGTCGCCTATTATTCCTCATTGTGCTTAGAATAATATTAAAACAAAAACATAAATATCATGGTGAAATAATGGGAGATAAAACAATGATAATAACCATTTAGAACAGGAATTCCTTACAGGATTACCGTCCGGTACAACTTAGCTCAAAAAATAGTTGCCAGCAGAAGGGCTGCATTGAAATTATCAGATAAACATAGTCAAAATCCAAAATTTCTCATAAGAAAAAAAAGGAAGATGCCTGTCTGCTTTAACAGTTGATTCTATACATAAACCGGAGTAGCAATTCCATGTACATTTTGTGTTCTGAATTATATGTATGCTCAGGCTGCCCACAAAATCATTTGAGGAGAGAATATAAACAGAGTTTCACCGTTCTTCAAGCATTTGCATTAAGCAGAAGTGCGCCTCTGGGCGGTTTCTTAAGAACTTAGAATATGAGATTCCAATTCTCTGAAGCAATACTTGGGCCTCAACTTAACAAGTGCCTGCCTGAGATCCTGCTGGATCTGGTTACTTGAGAACACTTCCTCCCATAATTTGTCAATTACTGTCAAAAGAAACAAGTATTTATAAGCCTGACTTGTAAATACAAAGGAAGGCAAAGATACCATTCTATGTGGCCAACCAGAATTTAGTCAGTAAATGTAACACATGCTAAATTTGAATGCAATACCTGCTACGATACTGCTTAGAAATAAACAACATTTATTAGGAGTGAATATGATAAACTACAAATAATACAACAGAGAAGAATAGGATTTATGTGCTTCAACAACTATTTACTCTGTCATGGTCACACAAGTGATGGTGGTTTCCATAAAATTACAGTTGAATACAGGATAAAAATACAGTACTTAAGTTCCCACAATAATTACTCTTATGATTTTCCTCTCCTATTACATCCCAGCTTGTCTTTCCAGTAGATTCAATCTTCACAAAAAAGCAAGCACCAAGTATATAATATTACATAGATTTGCAAAAGAATATCTATGTTATATCATCCATCTCCTTTCTCTTCTAACAGCTGCAAAAAATGACTGTTTCTGCACAGCTACATCCCTCCGCTATTATACTCGCCGACCATAGCCCTCTCACAAATCATTACACCAGCATTTTAAGACATTAAATTTCTAATCCCCATTTTTTGATAGTTGCAGCGAGAATCAGAGAGATGGCAATTAATCTGCGCTAGTCTTAGCGTCTAGGATCTTTTTGCATAAAAGAAATAGCAAATTAAAAGATCCTTGTTTCTGCTGCCTGAGCCAGCCACTTACATGCTATTCTTATTTTTGTTTAATACTGTCAGAAGATCAGAGAGATCACCAACTGTTTGAGATTGGAGAAGTGCATGGAAGAAAGAAAACCATATATTTTCTATTCCTTCTTAGCTGCACAACCAAAGTATTCACAGGTTGAGGGCCAGCAGAAGCTTTAATAAAGTCTACTAAACAGTCAAATTAGTTTAAAAATAAAAATCTTGTTAACAATTGATTTTCGAAATCAAATTTATCAAAAAAATAAAAATCTAATTAGTTTTTAAGGAATTTTTTAGAGAACTACTACCCAAAGCTGAAAACATCATATATTAGGAACAAGCAGATCACAAAATAAATTCCGTGCGAAAAGAAATGATGCATAATATGGGTGTTGATATTAAAATGCCTGGCAAAATAGATTGACCTAAAAACAAAGTAATGAGAGCTGCAATATCTTCTCTATAGGAATCTTCTTTGTTTCGAAAAACAACGGATTCAGGCAAGGTATTAAAATTACCAGCTCGATCCACTGCAGAAAGGCACATAATTATCAAGTCAAACCGAGGAACATTGGTTAAATTATTTATCATACTCACAGCAAAACTGGTGTCATCCCTGTAGAAAAGTGGAACTATTCCTTAGTATCAAGCATGGTTCCCACGCATAAAAGATTAAAAAATGCATTAAATATTTAAGACCGAAGAATAACTTACCTAAAGAATGTAGCTATGCATCTAACTATGTCAACCAATATATGAGCAGTTAGTGCATTTTTAAAAATCTTTGGTAAATCGGATGGGGGAATTGCCTGAAAGTAAAGCAATGTAATAAACTAAGTAAATCATAAGAAAAAATCTGTAGCAAAAAAAAAAAAAATTCTGCAGATGCCAACATAATTGATTAACCTTCAGTAGCTGGACCTGCTTTGCAGAGTCATCAGAAAGTGAACGCCACGAAACCTCAAACTGGTAAGCAGAGGTTGGAATTGTGAAAATCTTTGGAGAAGTTGCCAAAACTTGAGAAGCAGCCCGAGATGCAAGATCCTGCACTGATGCCTTCATTTCATGCTTGCGATTACCACCATTAGAATCCTATTTTTAATTATTGCAGTTAGAGTAACCAAACAGAGCAATAATTCCTAAATAAATAATTACAATTTCAAAAGAGTACAAGGAAATTTCACACAAACTGTCAACAAAATTCAATGTACAACTGATAAGGAAAGGTTGAATTAAGACTATGACACCCTTATTCAAGCACAGCTCATCTAGCTTGGGACCTAATCTCTCTGCAATTAATTGTTGTCATGAGGAAGTGTTTTTTGAGGAACATATATACACTTTTATTTATTTATTCATTTAGGCGTCATTTAAATTCAAAACTTTGGCAACAACTTTCAGTCTTCAGAATGGATAGCCATTTCTTCTCCATGGACAAGAATGATCATTCTTATCCTATTTTTATTTTTGAATCCACCGTTTTATATAGTTTTCATTAAGCTCACACCACTGATATGATTTACAACAAGAAAATTATTTGCGAATCAAATTTCATCAATTAACATAAAAATTTAAGAATTCATGGAGCAAGTAGAAAAATGAGGATAAGATATGACATATAAAGCAAATCTAAAATTTTGTTTTACTACAACAAGAAAATTATTTGCGAATCAAATTAACATAAAAATTTAAGAATTCATGGAGCAAGTAGAAAAATGAGGATAAGATATGACATATAAAGCAAATCTAAAATTTTGTTTTACGGATATAATCAAAACCGCTCAATATATGTAAATATTATCATGAACCCATTGATTTAATTTTAAACACTTGAAAACCTCCCTTCACTTTTCATTTGAACTTGTCATTTTCAAGCAATTGGAGCCATCCATTGTGAAAATTTTATAACTAAATGATGATAAAAAAAAGTTAAAAGTACTTAACATGGTTCTGATTTAATTTTAAACACTTGAAAATCTCCCTTCACTTTTCATTTGAACTTCTCATTTTCAAGCAATTGGGGCCATCCATTGTGAAAATTTTATAACTAAAAGATGATAAAAAAAAGTTAAAAGTACTTAACATGGTTTTAAGTGATATGTTACTAATTCTAAAATGAGCAATTTCATCTAACATTTGAAGCTCGTGATATAACAATCTAACAGCCCGTTTGGCGTAGCTATGGGGGAGTGATGCGACCTGGGGCCACTGTTTTCGTTCGTTTGGCGCGGTGGGGGAGCGGTGCGAGCGGAAATCAGTAAAAAGTGGGCCGCATATTATACCCCGCGGCCGACTTTTCATGTGTGTATTTTTGCCTTGCTGCCCTGATCCCCTCTTGCCCTAACTTCTGCGAAAAAGTTGTTCTCCCGTCAACCGTGCCGTTCGCTCTTCTCTGGTCTTCTCCCTACTCTTCCCCTCTTCTCTGGTTGCCTGATGACTCTTCCCCTCTTCCTCCTTTTCTCTTCGCATGTGGCATGCTTATCTTCTCCTCTCTTCACAGCCGTCAAAAATATATTTTGGTTTCTAAATGCACATCGGCTTGTTGGATTTGTTGGCTTTAGGTTGGATTCGTTTTTATCTATTACAGTGGGATTGGATTCATTTGGATGTGCAACAACTTGTTGGATTTTGGGTGGCTTTTGATTTGTGTTTAGCATATATTACAGTGGCTAAAATTACTTGTTAGATTAACTACAATTTTTGTTGGAATGGATTGTATGGGTGGCTTTGGGCTTGGTGGATCGAATTGCATGTTTGGCAATTCAAAAGCAAGGATTCCGATTGGGCATTTGATTTGGCCTTATGTAGATGTGGAAAGAGTTGGTTTTTGGGGTGGCTATGGCTTGGGGTTGTAGTGTCCTTAGAGTGGGGATGTTCTTGTGGCTTGGTGTGGATGCCCCATGGTATTTTTTAGGTGGTTTTGAAGTGTGGATGTTCTTGTGGGTTGGAGTGGATGCCAATTGGGTTTCTGTAGTGGCTTGGTGTGGCTCTGGCTTGGGTTGGTTTATGGTGTGGGTGTGGCTTGGGATTGTGGTGGTTTTGAAGTGTTGGTATTCTTGTTGGTTGGTGTGGCTCTGCTTCTATGTGGTTGTCACAGTTCTGTTTTAAAAAACTTTACTAAACAGGGGTAAAATGGTCATTTTTCTAGAAACAACTGTCTCACAATTGTTTTCACACAGATGCAACAAACAGACAGTCAATTTCTTGGGGCAGAGCAGCTGCAGCTGCCCCAAACAGACCCTAGATGAGAGGAAAATGATGATTCATGTATGCGTATAAAAGAAAATTAAAAAAAAAGAAAGATCAAGAAATTGTAAAGTACAAATAGTATTGATGGCATAGACAAGACAATTACAAAGGCATCAATCCAATGGATTGAATCCAACTTGCATTAGAAGAAGATTGAAAAGTTGGCAACATCATGGTCCAAGCTAAGAACCAGAGAAGGACTAGCAAGAAAGAAAAGAAGATGGCAAGGAGGATGAAAAATGTGAGAAAGTAGAAAGAGGGGTTTATGAGAGTAGAAAAAGAAGATGGCAATGGAGAACAAGGGGAATATATATTATTTTTAAAAATTGCAATTGTAATCCATTAAAACTTGTAAAAATTTAAAACTATTGCATAAAAATTTAACCAATAGTCAAGCTATGCTCAATTCTAAACCCATTTAACTTTCGAGCTATAATATAATAGTACCAGCACAGAATGGCAACTAAATAAGCACGACTCATTTGACAATTAAGGAAGCAAGTGCAGGAAAGCTTACCGTACATGGTTTTTCCCCCTTTTGTTTTTTTTTTTTTTTTTTGGTCCTTTTTCACACAGCCTTAAAAAAAACACCATTTTAACATCAAGCTAACAAAATATACAACAATAAGAAGTTCAGATAGTATGACGAATGAATCAATTCATATTGGCATTTACGCAAGTCTATGCATGGGCTACAAAAGCCCAAAATGACTTCAACTGCCATACCAAGTAATCATGTGAGATTGTAATAGGTCGTGTGTGTGAATCTGAATCGAATTCGATCTGGCATAAATTTCCACACATAAATTAAGGCAAAACAAATTTCTTTCTTCAATAACACAAACAACATAACATATGAAGGAAAAACATCTCCATTTGAGAGGTAGGCGATATCCCCCAAATCCTACCGTTCTATAAGTAGGAAATCTCTACTAAACCTTAACCTTAAGACACAAGATAACAATCTTCGACATAGCCCTAACCCTAAACTGTTAAGCCCTATTTATACAAAAAATTAATTAAAAGTAAAAGATTAAATGATGCTTAGGCTAAAAAAAGATAAAATTTCCCTTGGCCTAGACACCGACATAACAACACTTCCCTCCCAAAGAAACATCTTGTCGTCAAGGTGGAGGAAAACTGATGCTGAATTGAGCACCCATATCTCATAATCATACACTGTGAGAATCTTTGCAACAATATTATGGGGCAAAGTTTTCATCACAACGAAAATATAACTCTTTGCTCGCTTCTCCTTAATTTCTGCTTCTGTCACCCTTGGTCATAACCCATTATTCATGTACAAGGGAGCCTCCATCTGGACTTCCATTATTTGAGGTTTTGATATCATCGTTGTTGTAGCATTTTGGTAGGGTGCTTTACTTTTGATGCCCCTATTAGCATGTTAAAGTACATTTTTATCTTCAACCAACATATTAATTCTACAATTTTCCCCAATCCTGGCAGTCTCAACGGACCCATCATGAAAATCCATTCCAATACTACTTCAAAAATCCTCCTTAGTCATCCTGATAATAACTCGAACCTCCCCCTATATTCCATGACAATCCCCTCCATGAGTCAAGGCAAAGAATTTGTCGTGAATATCTCCATCATGAATAGCTTGAAAACATTCAAATAAGCAATCCAAAAATTCCTCCCACTAGCAAATCGAGTATCTAGTCTCTCTTCACTAAAACCATGCTAGGGCTTTTCCATCCAAAAATAACCATGCCACCATGAGCTTTTCCTCCACATATAGCCCATTCACTTTAAAACATCGCTCCACCTGGTATAATCACCCATATGTGTCTTCCACATCGAAGATCAACATCTTCAACTTCTCAACCCAAGCATCTCCCTCCCCACAACTTCCTCTCCCTTCATTTTTTCCCACCATGTATCTAAAACTAACTCCTTCGACCATTGTCACACCCCATCCCAGCTTCTCTCCTTCATTCTTCGTGCCACTCCATACCCCTTACATAGGCCCTCCTCCAAGATTCAACCCACCCCCCACACAATCAAAAACATAATAATTGGTTAAAATAATAATAATAAATACAATAAAATAAGTGTCGTTTAAAGAAGATGCACCACCTCGCATGAAAAAAATCACATGCATCTTTCGCACTTCCATTCAAACTATTGAACAAGTGAAAGCAAGAGAGAAAGCCGAGAGATCGAAAGTGAAAGGCAGTGCGGAGAAGAAACAAAAAGGAGAAGGTACTGATCTTGCTTGCGCAACTCTGGCCGACAACTTTGAGCAGAGAGGCTTCTCTGCAAGTGAAATAAGACGAAGAAGAAGGAAGCAACGATAGTGAAGGAGAGGAAGGAAAAAAAAAAGGAAGAAGAATAAGAGGAAACGTGTGTTTCTTCTCTTACCTGAGATTCAACACCATGCCTTAGCCATACAAAGGAATGAGGTGGCAGCTACCTATTTTGGTGTTGAAGTGGAGCATCACTTAGAGGAAAGAAGAAAAGAGGAAGGAGAAGGCTCGTGCGTACGGATAGAGAGTCAAGTCTCGCGTGCAGAGAAAGGATTTCAATGGGAAGAAAGAGCTTGCGCATGCGAGGTAAAATTGGCTTTATATTATAATTTTATTAATGAATTATATATATATAATTATTTAAATGTTAATTGTATGTTGTATGTGCTTTTGAAATCAAAATCGAAGCTATTAAAGTCTCAAGTAAATGGAGATAAAGATCATTATCTATGCATAAACGATCGAGATAATTGAGGTAAAAATAAGGATTTATTTATCTTAAATAATGAATCTAATCTATATATATATATA